ACAAATAACATAATAATTCAATAAATCAATAAATGTCTTACAATTTTTAAATAAATGTTTGTAATAAAATAAGTTATTGTAGGTACTTATATTTGTTTATTATACTTTACTCAATGATGAAATCCAATAAAATAATAAAACAATTGTTATGTATTTGTTAACGTAAATGGTCCACAACTATACTAAATATTATAATAATTAAATTCATTATTTTTTATTAGAAACATATATAATATCAAATATTATGCAATAAATAGTAAGAATCTAGAAATACTTAAATACGATGAATTACCAAGCTACTAGGATATTATACTATTATTTATACCGACCGGGCCAAGTTATCGCTGTAATTCTATGAATAAATACAAATGTAATAAGTAATGATATTGATAATTGATATTAACTAGATATTATAGTGTATATAGATTAGGTTATAATATGTCATGTATGGGTACTGAGTAAATTGTTATATTTTTCTTTTATTAATGACGCAGTTACCAATATAACATTTCCGTCTATAATATAGTTATATAATATTTTCTGTGAGTATGCAATACAATAACTTACTATTATTTACCTACTAAAATATGTTTAATATTTAGGGATTTTTTTTTTTTTATTTAATTAATTTTACAAAATTGAATTAATTTTAAATATGTGGCTTGGGAAAAAATTAACTTAACGTGCCAATAAAATTAATTAACTCGTTAAGTTACTGAATAGCATGGGGAAAATGCACTCGTTAAGTTAGAAGTTACTTCTAAAAAAAAAAAAGTAACTCGTTAATTAACTTAGTTAAAAGTAACTAAATAAAGTAAATTATAAGACGAAGACAACACACGCTGGTGTGACGATCACTTAACATCATTCATATTTCACATAATATGCTTTATGACCCCCTATATTGATACTTATGTCTTCAATCTACACTAACATAATAATGTATTGTACCTATATATAGGTAGGTATAATTTTTGATTTGTTTGTTCGTTATAACAAACGTTATACGTTGTATACACAACGATTTTATCACTATTTATAATATATACATTATTATAACATACAAAATATAATAAATTAGTAGAATAAAATTATAAGTACAATTTAAAATAATGAAATAAAATCACTAATCAACGTTAAATAATATCAGAACACGTATACCCATAATTACACCCTTTTTATATAATATTTTTACCATTTTTTCATTTTATTCTTACTTTAAATTTGTTCACCTGTATCTTTTTGTATTTTTACACTACTACAGTTATGATTACCAAGACATGCCACTTCAGTCAAGTCGGTTAATCATTTTATGATAAATTATTATAGTCACAATATTGAATAATATAGTTTAATAAGTACTACGATAAGGAATAACCAAGTTCTTACAAATTTAATAGGTATTATTTAGGTAGTTAATTCCACTCCTTCTACCATTGATGATGGATAAAGATAAGTGAAGTTTGTCATTTCATAGAAATAAAATATGTACTATTTAAGATCTGACTAATTTAGTTGGTATGTTTATGTATTTATGGTACAAACGTAGTAATACATTGAAACCACTATATAACAAACTTCCAATTATTTCGTCAATAGAAATATTTTTTTAAAACCATAATCAGATACATATTCAACTAACTACTAAGTACTAATTATGCCTGCCCAGGCTTCACCCGAAAATGTGAATATTTCAAAATAAATTCTTAATGTTATAGTAATAAGTACCTACATACCTTAGTCCAACAGGCTGAAAATTGTCACTCATCTTTCTGACAGAGAACTATCGTGAGTACATTCTACTTCTTATCAACAATTGTTCGGACTAGTCTGGCAATCTGGCGTCCTCTTGGAGACTTAGAAGCCTGGGTACAATCTTTATTAGTATTACTATTAGTACTACCTTTGCTTTCTGCAAGCATCGCTCCAATTTTGGTTGCATCTACTCTCTTAAAGGAACAGACTAATTTGTGACGTTTCTTTTTACTGAGCTATGCCCCCCAAATGCTGTCTCCCAAGTTTCTACTCGTTCTTCCACCAAAACAGCCTCTCCACTAACCTTAGATGTTTTTAACAAAACTATGGCTGAGCACCTAAAAACTCAAATCGAAACCCTGGACCAGTGTAAAATACTATGTGAATTCCGAAGTACTAAGTTTACTAAGCTGAAAGAAAGCATTAGTCATCTGTCAACTCAGGTTGTGGAATTAAAATTAGACAATGACAATCTTCGTGTGAATATCTCTAATCTCAACAAGCGTATTCAAGACCTTGAATCTGCAAACAGTTGTCTCCCTACTTCGGCTGGCACTGTCCCAAGCATTATCCAAGAGATCTCCGAGCGTGAGCGATGCTCTCGGAATGATGCACTATTAATATATATGAATATTTTATTATGATAATAAATTAGGTTAGGTTAGGTTAGGTTAGGTTAGGTCAGAACAATAATCATACCATTAGACATTTCGATGAAGAAGCATTAAATATTTTATATTTAATTTCAGTAACACTTATACTTTTTAATTTAGATTTAGACCTACCATCAATTATAAAGAAAGGTCCCTATTAAATCTGATTTAACTGGTTTAATGAAAAAAGTAGAGCTTTTTAAACCACAAACTTAAAAAAAAAATGTCTTCAGTTTTACTTTTAAATATGTGTCCCACAGATGATGTATTATTAGTCATTAATATGAAAAATATTTTTTAGTATTCTGTGTACACATAAAATACCTAATTGTTAATATGAAAAGTTACGTTTTACTAAAATATAATCCACGATTATTAACCAATGTCAGTAATGTCACATTATCACATTGTTTACCTAATTTATGTATATCAATTAAGTAATTTAATTATTGTTGTTCTTATAAAAAACATTCATTTTTTCAATTATTTGATTAACAGCTTCTAGTAACGGAAATTGAGAGTTTTAATTTTTTTTTTTTTATTAATTCAAGGTAATCTTAATATCTAAAAGCACTAAAGTTGTCTAAGAAACCATGCATTTGTACGTAGAATGTTAAATGAATGCTACTATAATACTATAATATTAATTAATATTTAATGACTTTAAAATGGTAATATTCAAAATGATAAGTAAAAATACATTGCATAATTTATTATGATATTATTATATTTTATACACTCAATGACTTTATCAAATGCAATTTTTTTGTCAACAATAATTGTTGAAAGTTGAAAAAATGTTTATAGCACGTTATTCCCGCCACCCTTCAATTATTAATTTGCCCTATACTGTAGTACTAATGCGTTTTTTTCGTTGTGATAGTGCTGCGTGGGGACTAAACTGTATGCACATTGCTTAGCCCCCACCCAGCATCGTTATCGTACAAAAAACCCACAGTGAAAATATATAACCCGTACACTGGTGTATTGGTATTACTGAGCCCTAAGTACGATTTTCCTAAGGGTGTCTACTGGCCAGTATATCGCATTCACTATTTCAAGGTTTCACGGCAACCACCGAATTTATTTGAAACTGATAGGCTTTATTTTTTTTTTTTATCATAAAACTAGACCCAAACCGGAACAGTTGTTTTATTTTTGGAAAACCCGCACTGGAACCGATATCGATAAATTCAAAAGATTCCAGTCCCTAATATAGATCGTTATCAATACTTTGTAAAAATTAAATCTTATATTATTGTGAACTGTAGTTGAAAACTTGATAAAATGAGTTTTTAAAGTCCTAATTTAAATTTAAATTCATATTTAAAACTGAAATTAATTTGTAATATCTACAGACATTTTTCTGAATTCAAATATGTTTTCAGAATCGAAATCAGACAGTGTTAAGTAAATAACTTTAATTTTGTCAAAACAATAAGTGAGTATTGTCGTAAAATTCGTGTAGTGAATTTTATATTGTTATCAAATATTGACATGTTATTATGCATGAGCGTAGAAGAATGGTACCAATGGCGCATTCAGAGGTTAGGTTAGGTTGGGTTAGGCTATGTTCACCAATGTTTTACACCATGTTAAGCCAATTTTGTAGCCAATTTTTGTACTTTTACCTCCCAAAATTAAGCCCTCCATCTACATCTGTGGTACCCTCACTCACACTAATAATAATTCACAACTAACACATAGATCACGGGTGACTAAGACAAGATTAAAAATTGCATACATTTTAAATAATAGCCGAAGCGAGGCAACTTAAGTGTGTAGGTGATGGTAATTTATTAATGAGTAAAATTTAGGCCATTCAATTTACACTTGAACGTGCATGTATGTAAGTATGTAAATCGATGTTAGTGTGAGTGAGCCAGTTACGGATCGGGCCGGCGGGACAGCGGGAGTTTTCCCGGTTGGCCGGTCTTAGTGTACTGCACTTATTTTTTTAGAATAACAGATTTAAATTATAAATTTAAACAATGTGTAGACCTTATTTCTATCATATTTTATTAATGTGAAATATTGGACTTTATCAATTGTAACTTGTAAACACGGGACAGATTGATTCACGGCCACGATTTAAGATATACCTTAAATCATGATTACGGCTGTAGTCTACAGATAATACTATCTTTAATCGTATATTTTGTCCATACAGTAGGTATATGGTATAGACCTGCAAGGGCTGTAAATTTTCGGCCCTGTCCGGTCCAAAGAAAATTGTGAAAAAAAAGCACTGGCCCGGTCCGAAAATAATGCTAAGCTCGTAAAAAGCCCGGTCCGGTCCACAAAATATTATGAAAAAAAAACCCGGCCCGGCCCGACATTTTTTTTAAGGCTGGTTTTTTTTTTTGTAGGACTGGTTTAAAAATGTGGTTTTTTACAACAATCTTTACATTCCAATGTTTTATGATAACTGGGGTTAATGTACTTACTACCTAATACCTATTACATTTACCTGTAGCTTGATAAAAACTAGGTAGGTACATATAACAGAAAATACTTTTAATTTATCTCTTAAAAATCAACCACAAAATTAAGTCAAACAAGGTAGATCTCAACGTGATTAAAAACATTAAAAAATTAAAAAATCACATTAAATAAAAGTCAACTTACTATTATCCTCACTCCTCAACCACAATTTTTATAATTTTAACCTACACTTGCTCTAAATAAAATCATAGAATCAACTTATCCAAATGATATATTTAATTTATAATATCTATAATATCTATAAATCTATAAAATCACATACATTTTCAATCGATACTGTACTCAGTACCCACCACAATGGAATATCACTACTACAGTACTACTATGGGTACAAAAGCAATAGTAGGTACCGTAGACTGGTTTTGTGGCAACTGTATTCATTAGTCAAACGCAAATTAGTCTTATCTTAGTAATAACGCCGCAAATAAATAAATATTTTCGTGGTGTGTTGTTGTTTTATTTTGTATTGACATATTATTATGGTATAAAAATAGCTTTATTATAACCACCAATCAATATATAATTATATTCATTGTGATTGTATTGATTGTATCTACTAGGTATCTACTATCTACTATCTAGTATCTATCTTTTCTGTACCAAGGTCGGTTTTATCATTATTATTTATTATTTTAAATTGTGATTATTTATTGTCGAAGAAAAATCCTTAAAAAGCCTGGTCCAACCCTTCATTTGTTATTCGAAGTTCAGCCCGGCCCGGTCCGAAAAATTGTACAAAAAAAAAAGCCCAGGCCCGGCCCGGAATAAAATTCCAAGACTTAAAAAGCCCGGTAAAACCCTTTATTTTATTTCAAAGGCCCGGCCCGGTCCAATGTCACTACGGGAAGGGTTTTTTAAGGACCGGATCGGGCCGGCCCGGCCCTTGCAGGTGTTTAGTATATGGGTTGACTACAGATTAGTATTCCGTAAGATAACACGATAACATAATGTGATTACTGATTGTGCTTATTTTTCTTGTAGACCGTGTACTGTGTAGTTTAATATACTTCTTTATAGTATTATAATTTTTTTTATTTTAATTATGAGTGATTCGAAACAATCAGTTTCGTTACATAGAAAACTTGGTGCTAGTTGAAAGTAGTGCAGGTATGGCTGGGACAAAAAGTAGTGTTGCTATGCCTATGGTAATAAAACTTACTTCTGAAAAAATTTAATAATCGGCTTGATTTATTAAACATAAATCATTTTTTCAATGATTACGTTAATGGGCATAATTTATATTTGAGAAATCTTCGTAAGTTCAACTATAATAATATAGTACTATATTATATTATAATATATATAACTCTACAATAAGAATATCGTCTGGTGGTTGATACAATTTATCCATGTGAAACAAAAAAAAATCATCCAATTCAATTTAATTGGTATTTAAGTAAAAATATATCAAACGGAGTTAAAAGGGAATATAACATTTTTGATACCTTTCTATGATACTCTTACAGTAAATACATATTATACGTATAATAAAAAAATTTAACCTATTATTGTAATAGTAAAAGGTGGGCAAGTGGGTGTTGCTCTGCTGTACAGTACCCTGTGTGCATAAAGAAGAACTTACTGTCTATGTGCCGTCTGTTTTTGTTCTCAAAAGTGACGGTACATTGTAACTTATATGTACCTTCAAATATACGTATAAGAATAAAATGTCAATATGATACCGATATATAACTTCTCGCCGTAGCTGTATATGAGAATTCCATATGTAATATCACATAGAAGTTACTATTGAGTAGTTAAAATGATTGATGATATGTGACATAACTGAGAAGTTACAATAGTTACGTATAAATAATTGTTATATATAAAATACATGATGATAACACCCGAATGTGGTTTTTGGACTTTTAAATAATATATAGTATATACATAATAATAATCAATATATTATCACACCCATACAAATTATAATTTTAATAATTATATTATATATCATTTTATTATCTTTTTTAGTTTTTATTTTTTTAGTATCAAGTATCTATAATATTATAGACTATAGAGAAATTATGTTAATCGACAACTATGTATCGTTATGATAGTCTTGAGAGTGTGGCGCGGGTACGGGGTAAATGGGTATAGCCGTATATCGAAAAGAATCGGAACGAAAATAGAATAAGCTGATAACAAAAATAAATTGTGAATTATTGTTTGTTAGCTACATAAAATTATTATTTCTACACTACATTCAATCATTTTAGGCATAAACATTGTGTAATATATACTAATATCCAATGTTTACAATTCATCATGGTATAATATGTATTTTTGTCTGTTTTCATTTATTCTTAAAAATAATATCGGACCAAATTATATTATATAATACGGCCAGTGCCAACCAACTGACCTGGCCAGTCCACCCTTGATACAGTATATTATGGCCTTTGAAGAATGGAGAGTCCAATAATCTTTGATGCTCTAGTAAATATGTCACCGTCCATAAGTACATAATAATATAATATACATAA